CATAGGCTGGTTTCTAAAACTTTTATCATTTTTGTTGGTCTCCTCTGGACTCTCCAGTTTGTCCACATCTTTCTTAAAGTACAGTGCCCAAAACTGGACACAGTACTCTCACTGAGACCTCACCAGTGCTGAGTAGAGCAGGACAATTACCTTCCCTCTCTGACATTCAACATTTCTGTTAATACACCCCAGAATGATATTAGTCTTTTTTTCAGCTGCATCACATTGGTGGCTTGTATTCAATTTGTGATCCACTATAACCCACATATCCTATTTGCTTACTGCCTCGCCAGTTATTCCCCATATTGTAGTTATGCATTTGATTTTTCCTTCCTCAGTGTAGTATTTTGCAATTGTCTCCATTGTATGGCTCTTGATCCAAAAGCTTTTACTCAAAAGCTGGGGGAAACCAGTCCCATTCTGGTGTGAAAATAGCCACAGCAAAGGAGTCAGACTGGGTTTCATTGTTAAAATAAGATGATTGCTATGCACCAGACTGCCCTGTCTTATGCCATGTGGCTCCAGGTCAATGGGGCAGCATGGGTGTAACTGAGAGCAGAATTTGGTGATACAAACAACATATTAAAATTCAGACAACACTTTGCAGTGCAATGTGAGCAAATCCCCTAGTGACTCTCCTGCTTGAACTTGGCTATGTGGGGACTGAATGATTATGTGCCACATTATTTTAAGTACAGTTTCTGATATACATGGTCCTTTACACTTCTTCCCTGACAGTTGTAGGCCTTAAGCTGAGTAGGGGCAAACACTGAATTTAGCCTAACCTTGCTAGAGAAAGTAGAGGATAAAATGAGGGCTGTTATCTGCTCTCCTTTCCTGTCTGTCTTCTGGAGTGGTCCTGCATAGAGCATGGACATTGGACCCATTCACCCATGTGAGCTCCAGGATGGAACTTTCAGCCAGTGAAGATGAATCTATTAACAAACTTCAGATCATGTCTCATTTAGGGTTATTCCCTGGTTAGCTGGCATAAAGGAGTAAAAGAGGGCATAGAGTATGTCCCTGCAATACACAGGCAGCAAGGCACAGATGGTGGGAACAAAGGGGCTTCAGGTACACGCAAAACATACTTCTACTCAGACGAGAAAGTACGCCTGACATTTAGTTTATTCTTCCAGCTACTGCACATAATGGCAGAAATTCTGGTTCCATTTAAGTCAGTAGTTTTGCCATTGACTTAAGTGGGGTCAGGATTTCACTCAATGGGCCAAATTCATCACTGGCACTAAAGTCTACGGTGTTGTGTCCTCTTTACTCAGTTGTGTCTTTATTATAATCCCCTGTGAACAAACTATATAATTTACACTCACTGGGCCAAATTCAGACCAGATGTAACTCCATCAGGAGAACACTGGTCTGAATTGGGCCTTTTAAATCTTGCCTTAAAGGCATCTTTTCTGGTTTACATTTGAGTCTCACTGTGTTATATTTTATACAGGGAATGATACGTAAAAATAAATGGCCCCATCTCATATATAATTTTATGTTATATAGTACTAAAATATTATGTTTCTATTATATTTTAACTGGTATTCCATTAATATAACTCCTATTCAATAAATAATTGTAGGTTAGGACCACTGTAAGTTACCTGGTACAGATATTATTTAACCCTTTAATGACACAGGTAAATGTGTTGGGTTCAGCTGGTAAAATGTGGTATATTTGCTGTTATGTACTTAATTAATTGATTTATTATTATTTATTGTGCTAGCACCTAGGAGCTCCAGTCATGGACCAGGATCCCATGGTGCTAGGTGCTGTACAAAAACAGAACAAAAAGATGGGTCCATATCCTAAAAATCCTGCTTGGCTCATCCTTTGTTTAGGTCAAAACTAATGATCTTTTAACCTGTCATCTAGCTTTAGAAGATAGAAATCTCCTACATTAGTCTTACAATTGCGTGACTCACAAAGTCCGTAAATATTCTGGCAACCACATGGTATTTCTCAGGCAAGTACAATATCAATTTACTGCACAAGAAGAGAGTACTTACGAGATATTTGTGCCATCAGAGCCTCAACCACTTCTCATAGATTTATCATATCAAACAAAATGATGTTAATAAGCCTCTGATTCTTGGTAAATCAGTATGCACATCAGCTGAATCAGCATAGGGCATACATGCATATTTTGCTTTATTTGTTCATTTGTATATTTGCTGATAAACCATGGTGTTCCTGCTGTAATAATGTATGTTGATGTCATTTTTAAATGACAGGTGTTGAATCTAATAATTAGACTTTTCACTGAAGGTCTGGGAGAGCTATAGAAGGATTTAATTATTCCCAAAGCAGTTTTGTGAGCAAGATAATCATTAGCCCCATTTTAAGGATAGGCAAACTGAGGCACAGGGAAGTTAAGTGACTTGCCCAAAGTCACACAGCTAATCAATAGCAGAGACTAGGATAGACTCCAAGAGTCCTAACTCACAGTCCCCTGCTTTCAATACTAGACGCACTGACATTTGACAAATCCAAAATCTTATCCGTGCTGCCTGGGCAAGTTACCTAGGTCTCTCTGTGCCTCAGTTCCCCGTCTGTACAATGGGGACAATAGCACTTCCCTACCTCCCAGGGCTGTTGTGAGGATAAATACACTAAAGATTGTGAATTGCTTTGAGACCTACTGGTGAAAAGCGCTATATAAAAGAGCTAGGTATGATTATTATTACTTATAAGCCATGGTGAAACCCTGTTGTGCAAATCTAGAAAGAAGCCTTTTCTTTCCACTTCCAAACAAGCCAGGCAGACCTGAACATGCCTTTCCCTCTGTGAACATGCATCAGAGCTCCGAACGCCTCTCTATGCTAGTAGTTACAATTCTAGTTTTCCCTCCCTCTGAAGTATTCCATTGTAAAAGTCTCCCTATCCTACAGCATTTCTTTGCTGGTATCTACTGTCCCTGTCCTGCACACAGTTCCCTTCACCACTAACAAAATGTGGAGTGGTAGCTTTTAAGCCTACATCCTAGCCATTGAGGTGAATTTGCAATCTAATCAGGTCAGGCCAGCCTTGGTGTCTTCTCCAAAGTAATGGATGGACTAAAATGAGTTGGGAGAGGGACTGAATTGATAGCCTTGTGATTACTGCCAGAATTCAATTTGTAATGGCAATAGCCTCTCCTAGGTGGTGAATATCAATCATTGCTAATGCTTAACTAGGCCTTCAGCTCTAGGCAGCTCGCTATGTCCCACAGGCTTTGGGGGCAAATGCAGCCTGCTCTAAAAGGGCCCAGGGACATCCGTGTTTCAGCAATCCAGCCTGCAGCTACACCGGGGAATGATAAATGATGCCACACAAGAGCAACCCTCTCTTTCTTTTGTGAATTTAAGGTTTGCAAAGGGAGTCACGTTCAGAGCCAGAGAACAGGTCCAGCACAGAGGCCGGAAGTGAAAGCTTCCTTACATGGCCCCAGCCATGTGCCTCAATCCTGATTGGGGGGCTGGTGAGAAGTTCTCTCTCCAGGGCCCACTCAGCCCTCGGCCTCACTGCTGCTGTTGTTATGGCTGGTTTCAGCAACGTGGATGCTTGTCCCCTACACTGTTCTGAGCCCACCAGCTCGTATCACACGGGACACCCCGCATCCGGGAGCCCACCAGCTCGTATCACACGGGACACCCCGCAGCCTTCGGATGGTAGCAGCGGTCAGTCACGGCTGACCTCAGCCAGCTGCCTAGTGCTGACAGTGCCACACGGTGCAAATATCCCCTCTAGGCCTGACTCTGCCCAGCCTGCGGCTGGACAGGACCTTGAGCCTCACCTCCTGCCCACATCCCTCTGCTGCCCTATTGCAAGACACATCCCTTGGATCCCCAGCCCTTCCTCTGACCCCTGTTCTCCTGCCATCCCGTTTTATCTTCCCCTCCTCCGCCCACTCCCCCAGCTCCTCATTCCCACTTCCCCTATCTCCTCCTCCATTCCCGCTTTCCCCTCTCTCCCCCTCGCCACATCTCCTAATTCCTCTCCATCTCCCCACTCCTCATTCCCTTCCCCCATCTCCCCCTCCTCCCATCTCCTCATTCCCCCTCTCTCCCCTTCTCATTCCCTTCCCTCTATCTCCCCGTCCTCCCCTCGCATTCCCCCCATCTCCCCCTCCCCATCTCCTCATTCCCCCTCCATCTCCCCCTCTTCCTCTCCATCTCCCCACTCCTCATTCCCTTCCCCCATCTCCCCCTCCTCCCATCTCCTCATTCCCCCTCCTGCCCCCTCTCTCTCCCCTTCTCATTCCCCCTATCTCCCCCTCCCCCATCTCCTCATTCCCTTCCCCCATCTCCCCCTCCTCCCATCTCCTCATTCCCCCTCTCTCCCCTTCTCATTCCCTTCCCTCTATCTCCCCGTCCTCCCCTCGCATTCCCCCTATCTCCCCCTCCCCCATCTCCTCATTCCCCCTCCATCTCCCCCTCTTCCTCCCCATCTCCCCACTCCTCATTCCCTTCCCCCATCTCCCCCTCCTCCCATCTCCTCATTCCCCCTCCAGCCCCCTCTCTCTCCCCTTCTCATTCCCTTCCCTCCCCTTGCATTCCCCCTATCTCCCCCTCCCCCATCTCCTCATTCCTCCTCCATCTCCCCCTCTTCCTCCCATTCCTGCTATCTCCCCTCCCCCCATCCCCATCTTCTCCCCACTCCCGCTTCCCCCTATCTCTCCCTCCCCACATTTCCTCATTCCCCCTCCTCTCCCCACTCCCCATCCCCCGCAGCTCCTCATTCCCTTCCCTCTCTCTCTCCCCCTCCTCCCCCCCCATTTCCCCTCCATCTGCCCCTCCTCGTTCCCTTCCCTCTATCTCCCCGTCCTCCCCCCGCCTCCCCCTATCTCCCCACTCCCCCATCTCCTCATTCCCTTCCCCTATCTCCCCCTCCCCACCCCCTCCATCCCCTATCTCCCCCCCCTCTAGTTCCTCCTCCCCACCCTGCCCTCTCCTCTCCTCTATTTTTCTCTTCCCCTCCCCTCCCCGCTGTTCCCAGGCGCCCTCCCCCTCCGCCGGCCCCGCCCCGCTCGGTACCGCATTGCTGTAGCGCAGGGGGTCACTGCATTGCGCCGGCACCGGCAATAGGGGGACCCCCTCCCAGGGAGATAAAGCCGCCGGAGCCGAAGCTGGCAGCCTCTGCTGTCTGAGCCCGGCGCCGCCACCGGTAAGAGCGCCCAGCCGCCGCCGCCGCTTGCTGCGGGAACCGGGCGCCCCGGGGCCGGCTCGAACCGGGGGCTACAGCGTCGGGGCGCGAGTTCGCGGCCGGGGCCGCCTGCGAAGTGGGGGGCTGCAGCCGCGGGTGGGAGGAGGAGGAGGCGGCGCTGCAGCGAGTGATGCCCGTGCAGCGATGAAGGGCGAGCCGTGGTCGCCGGCGATGGAGAATAAAAGGGGCTCAAAAAAGCGGGGCGACAGCCGGCCCGGAGCCGAGAGCAGGAGCCGGTCCTGTCTGGTCGTGGCATACGCCGCTCTTAAGCTGCTCGGTCGGGACAGTGTCATTGCGGCGGCTGGCGAGTGCGTCTCCTCTTCGCTCGCCACGCCAGGGTCTTTGCAGCGCGTGGGAACGGCTCCCAGGCTGGGGGTGGTCTGGGGGCGGGGGGAGTGGGGAGAGAGAAGGAAATCAGGCCGGGGCAGCAGCGGCTGGGTTTGACCTTGTGGTGACACCCCCAAGGAAAGGTAGGGAAGACATGCATACATTTGCGGCTTCGCAGATCGGTCGGAAAAGGTGGCCGGGTTGGAAAATTTTGGGTAGAAATCAGCATTTGGGGTGCTAGGAAAGGGAATATTAGTCCCTAACTGCTTTGAACTAGCCCAGTCTGGGGCCAGCAGGGTTTAAAATAACCCAGAGGGAGGGGCAGAGAAGGGGAGGCTGTGTCACCAGACTCCAGCAGGTGCTGTATGTAGAGGGGTTTGACCGTTCGCAGAGCTTGCCCAGAACTAGATGTTCCAGCCCAAGATGCCTGACCCTCCTCCCCACTTGAAAATAAAGGCACTTAGCATCTTTAACCCTGGAAAAAAAAGATGGTGGAGAGGTTTCTGAAACGATTGGAGGTTGCTTATCTTGAATGGGTTGCAGCTAGAGGATGTGGGATGCACAGACTTGAAAGCGCTGCATTCATTTGTGTTGGCTTATAATGTGCATTAGCATAACTGATTTAATGATCTGAGCCAGGTCCATGAAGGGTGAAAAAAGTGGAGGGGTTTGCTCCCAGCCTGGAAGGCTGCTCTCAGGGGCTATAACCGAGTGCATGATGGAATCTGATTTACACCAGCAAACTTTCCCTGAGCTCTTTTAACTTTAAGGGTGGATACAAGAAATTAGATTTTATTAGGCAACAACCTAGGCTCCTGTTCTGCACAGTTACTGTAGCAGGTGCAGTGTGCTACCGGGTCCTTTGAGATGCTGAGGCAGATAGCTGGATGTATTGCTTTTATACCTTCTTTTTATACCTCTTCTTCAATTTTCTCTTGATGCGTGGAAGAAAACACACTACTGCGTGCTCTGACGCCATTGCTGAGGTTCCTGCAAGCGCCCAGGCTGCTTCCAGTTCAGCTTTAGGGGGAGAGGGCTGAGCATGAGTTATTTTTGTCTGTTCCCTTTTGTGGGCACCATATTGTTATCCTAACCATGAGCTCTTGGGAGATTTCAGTCCATGGTGCAAACAGAAAGGAATTGAGTATCTTATAGGACCTCTATGGAGACAAGTCTAGGCAAGAATGGATGCCCGAGAGCTCCTCTGAGAGCAGAACAGTGCATGAAATGGAGGCAGTGCCTAAAAATCACTGGAATCTTTGACAAAGAAGCACCAAGAATAAATCAGTAACAACCCCCTGTAAGTGAGACGGAGGGGGGAGCTGTTGGTTTGGCAGGGTTTCAAGGGTCTAACTAGGATGATATGTTTGGGGCCCTTATGACGTGTCACTTTGAACGAGCGGTCTCCTCCCCTATCTTTGGCTTCCTTGCAAAGGCTGAAAAGATGGCGACTTGCACGGGGCTTGGAAGGGTTTATACAGAATACAGAAATAGAAGATGAACGGGGTTAGCATCAGCCACAGCAACTCCAGAGGCAGGCGGGCCCCATCACTGCTACAAAAAAGGGAGGCGGACAGACAAACCTGACTATGTCTGGCCTACATCTCGCTTGCTGGGATCCGGGGAGAGAGAGTGCCTTAATTCAGGAGGCAAAAGGTAATATGTCTAAATAGCTAAACAGTATTGTCGTGGTCGTCAGACTCAGCCTGGGTGAAACTACGGGGAAGGTCTGTTTGCCGTGGGTCGTGTTGCTGTCAGACTCTTTTGATGTTCTTGTTTGTCTCTCCCAGCCTCCACAAAAAAAACGCAGCTTTGCTTCCGCTCCTTTGCTAGCGTCGGCCCTTTCCAATATAACCCGAGAGGATGGGGAAGGAGAAGACACATATCAACATTGTCGTCATTGGACATGTGGACTCTGGGAAATCCACCACCACTGGGCACCTCATCTACAAATGCGGGGGCATTGACAAAAGGACCATTGAGAAATTTGAGAAGGAAGCTGCTGAGGTGAGACCTCGGACCCTTCCCGTGCCTTCCCCTTTGTCCCTTCCTCAGCAAGTGAGTGAGGGGCAAGCTCTGTAGATCATCAAATCCATCCTCTGCCAGTGCAGGATTGTTCCCTACATTTCCTCCATTCTTCCTGTGCCCCTCCTCAACCTTCCCTCTATTCCTCTGCCCTCCTTTGTTCCTATTCTCTCAATATCCCTTCACCTCAGGGCCATTCCAACTCTTCTGGCCTTGGTAAAAGAGGACATTTTGGCATTTGCACCCCGTACTCTGGGTCTTCTAGTTGGCTGTGGAACTCATTGCCACATTATATCAATGCGGGTAAGAGTCGAGCATGATTTGAAAGCCATATGGGAGATTTACAAGGATAACAAATTATAACAGTAAAGAATAAAGATTCTGGAAGCGAGATAAATGCTTGTGCTTTAGGACATAAGCCAACATCTAAATACTGGGAGCTAGAAGGAATTCTTCCTTAGGAAGAGATTATTCCATTGTTGCCTGCTCTAGGATTTCTTGCATTGTACTCTGAATCAGCTGGTATTGGCCATTGTTGGATACTAGATACTGGGCAGATGGTCTGATCCAGTCTGGTAAAACTGATTTACGTTCTTGGGTTTGGGCTCTTGTGTGTAGTTTTGACAGTAGCTGTCAAAGTAGAAAACCTGGTCTGAAATATGTGCACTTCATTTAATTGTATGATTTCTCTTTTATAAAGACAAAAATAATAGCAGCATAATAACAAATGCATTTATCTGGCTTTCAGCATAGTACATACAAACCAAAGCATATAACAAGGGCAAATACACAGGAGTAAAAGGGAAGAAATACCATTGCAGAATGACATTTTTAAATTAAAAGAGCTCAGAACGTGGCAATGGTAAATTCTAGTGAAATGAACCATTAGGAGCCCTGCTGCATTGTTTCAAAAGGGCTGTGGCCATCATAAATCTGTGTCTTTAATGCATATATACTTCGATTTTTCTTTCTAAAATTCAATATGTGTAGTTTACAAAAATGGCAGCATTCTTAGAGCTGCCAGTCTTGAATAGACATTTTGCTGATTGCCTCTTAACCCTTTGCATTTACGGAATAACACCCAGGATAAACCACCTTTTCCCTGTACCTTGTCGTCCGTTCCCTTTGCAGCTCTCTCAGCAAGAGCTGCGTCCTGTGTCTAAACTCTGTTTCAAAATGGACTGTGCTGTTTTCGTAGATATTTTTGTCCTGTACCGATGAGTGAGACTCAGTATAATTAGGTTGTTCTAGATGTGACTGCAGCCACTTTAATTGAACGGACACTTTCACTGACTTGCCAGAATATGCAGGGGCTAGAAGCTGCTATTAATAGCCTATTGACTGAGCTTCCAGACTCCATTTTCTGATGCAGGGCTGTGGAGGGGTTTTTCTTTCACTAAGTTGCATTAGGAGGAAATGGAGGCCTGCATGAATAAAAAAACAAAACGACAACCACCACTGCTCCACCCACCCCCTCCCTTTCCCGGTCCTGTTGTGTTTTTTAAAGGAGAAAAGATAAAAGGAGAGAATTATTTCACTAGAGCACAGAGGTTGTAGTAGCTTGGAAGGTTTCTTTATTCGTTATTTTTGATCTCAGAACATAACTGTCCTTGATGCTTAGCTTAATCGAGAAATATCAGGCAGTTTCTGGTATTTAACAGTGGAGTTATTGTGCAAAGCTAGATAATACAGGTTTTTTCCCACACCAGTTCTGGGTAATTGAATATACCCAGTGAAAGGGACCTGGGGGAGGGGGGGAATCTGTTTGTTAAATAAAGGCTCACATTTGTCCTCAAGCTATGCATGACATTGCAAATTTTAGTGTAATTCAGCACTTATATGGAAGGACCAGGGCCCCCCCACCCCTTCTGGGGGGTGGGGGGAGGGATAAGCAAATAACCCTCTTTGATAATTCTCAAAGATCTGTTTTTCTGAGTGAGGAGGAACGTTGTGAGGTATCAAGAAGGCACAGTTGTATGTTGAAGGTATGGCCTACAGAGATGAGGGTAAGAACCATCCCAAATATGTTCAGACTAGATTCAAATCCCAGTCTGCTTTTCTGGGAAGATACAGTTTGTCAGGCAGCATGGTTAAGCAAACAGAGCAGTGGGCTGTGAGCCTAGAGACCTGGAGTCCAGTCTCTTAGCTCCACCTGTGACCTTCCTCACATTCTGCCTCTGTTTGTTCATCTATAAAATGGGGCTGTTGATACCATCTCTTGCAAAGCACTTTGTATGAAAAGTGCTATATCAGAACTATGTATTGTTAATCAATTCCACTAGCTAAAGCAGTTCCTCTGATATAGCCACACTATTTCGAAACGTAGTTATTTGCAGTAAGACTAAGCCCTGTCCTTTTCCATTTGTAATAATGTGCTAGACAAATAAGCATGTAAGCTTGAAAAGGGTTAATCTGTTAGCACTTGCTCAGATCCTGATTATAATCTGTATTTCTTTTAGATTAGCTGTAAGGACACAGGGACTGCTTGGGATCTTTCTTTCTTTGTATAGCTTTTGCCAGTGCCACCAACCTATACCTAAGGACATGTGAGGATGCACCTTTAGAAATGCATGGAAACTCATTCCTATCTAATCAGAAGATGTAGGCTCTGTTTGCTCGGCGTGGCTGTTTATTTCCATGTAGCAAGGAGAAGGTTTTTCAACCATTTTAGGACTATGCCCATCACCCTCAGTAGCCAGATGCAAAGTCATTCCCGATATAAATCTGTGTAAGAAGTCTGCACTCCATTAATAATTTGTACTCCACAAACCGTGCACAGGGGATATCACATCACCACCTCTGGGATGGAACATGGCAGCTGTCTAATAGGAGTCTTTCCATTGACTCTGATGGCAATGGACCGAACAGAACACAGTAGCAGAATATCCACAGTTAAATTAGAGGAGAAACTTTTATGCAGCAATATTAACGCTCATATCTCAGGACACAAGCAGCTACTAACAGCCTGTGGTTAGGAAGAAACTTCCACTGGGGATAGATCATCCATAATTGCCCCTTATGAAGTTTGTTGCACCTTTCTTTGAAGCATCTTGTACTGATTATTACTGTAAACAGGGTATTGGACTAGATGAATCTGCTATGGCATTTGCTATGTTCTTGAGAACCACATAGGAAATGGAGAAGCATGCCATGGCAAATGACCTAATTCTCTAGATAAGGTCTATTTTTTTCCCAATTTAGAATATTTCAGGTGTTTTTAAAGACTGGAATGTGTATGAGCATTAACACCTTTATTTCTGCAAGCATTGCCAGGCAACAGCCAAGTAAGTACAGCGCATCTCAGAGAGCCTATTGCAAGATAGTTTCCCCCATCCCACCCCTCTCTGAGGCTTCATTTTCATTGGTAGAAGGCTCACACTTGGGGAGGGATACACACAACTCCAATCCAGGAGGGGAAAGAGCAGCTCCCCCTACTGGTGTGAGTTCTGATCAAGATTTGTCATCAGAAAAGGCCAGAGCGAGGAAGATGGACCCAATACATGGCAAAACCTAATTTAGTGGCTTCCCCAGCTATATGAATGTGTAGATTGAGACATAAGGGGGAAGACACAGGTAGTGAACTAATATGTGGGGATAATCCTAAATTGACACGCAATACAACAAAGAAAACACAATTTTACTCATTAGCTTAAAAAAAAAAAAGTATGATTTTTACCTATGAGCGAGGCCTGTCACACCATGATGGTATTTACTTTGATTAGCCCCATGCAGCATTTTGTGCATTGGATACTGCTGGCCATGACTTCATATTAGTCAGCAATATCCTAGCATAGTTTTTGCCCGGGAATTCATCCACCGCTTAACAACATCACATTGCTCTTTTAGGCAGCAGCCAACAATATCCCAGCATTTTATTGATTTAAAATATCCAGCATTATACTGTGGTGGTGGTCGTCATTTCAACTATTGGCTGGCTACACCGATGCCTGGGCTTCTGGACTGAGAAACAGCATTTTCGGTTAGCCAGCAATAGGGCCCAGTTTCACCTAATAGCCAGCAACATGGGGTCAGGGATTTTTCTAGTATTTACTATCATGTCCTGTTTGCCCAAAAGAAGAGCATATTTCCTTCAGTACAGATTAAGGACCTGGGCCTGCTGCCATTGAATTCAGTAGGGTTTTGTCGTTAATGTTTGCAACCAGCAACTCCCTAGTTGGGTATCTGAGCTTGTGAAGGCAGGTTACTGGGATACCACATCATCAGCTGACCCTGTTTCTGGGCTCAGGTTTCTTCTCATCAGGTGCTCTCCTCTTTTTTTTTTTTTTTTTTTTTTAAAAAATCACCTGCTAGATGGGGAAAGGCTCCTTTAAATATGCCTGGGTGCTGGACAAGCTGAAGGCTGAGCGCGAGCGTGGTATCACTATTGACATCTCCCTGTGGAAGTTTGAGACCACCAAGTACTACATCACCATCATTGATGCCCCGGGCCACAGAGACTTCATCAAGAACATGATCACAGGGACCTCACAGGTGAGAGCAAGGAGAGGAGGAGCAGAAGGACTTGAAAGTAAAAGTGTGCCCTGCTAGTGGGTGGCACCCGGGAAGGGGACAGGGCAGCTGGGTGACACCCTGGGGTGCAGGGGGGGGGATGGGTGGTGCCCATGCATATTTTTGAAACCCTAACTTGGGGGGGGGGCGGCGAGGGTTTTTTCTACCAGACTTTGTTTCAGAATCCAGCAGATGCAGATTGAAACAAACTTGAAGCTCTTTCATCTGTACATCACGCTGCATCGGTTTTTACAATCCGGAAACACCACACCCACAACCCTCCTCCCGTATTTGGAACGTTGCAGGGGCAGTAATGGCGGTGCAGCCCCAGCTGCAACTTAATGTTTCCTAGAGTTTAAGGCCAGAAGGACCAATAGATCGGACCTGTATATCACAGGCCATTAAATTTCATGCTGTTACCCCCATATTGAGCCCAGTAACTTCCTTCCCATGGTGGCAGTACAGTGTGCTGTAGAAACACCCACTGATAACCAATGTGCATGGGGCCCCTCTGTGTCTGGCAAGGCCCCACTAATCTCAAAGCCCCTCCGCCCCCCCCCCTTTGATTTCCTCCCAGTTTGAGCTAACTGTCCCTCCATGGCTGACAGCTGTTACAGAACTCTCTGCAGCCAGAGGGTGGGAAGGGGCAAGAGGAGAGGGAATCCCATGGTCCTAATTCAGGTCAGTAAAGTGCTTTAAAATCCTCGGATGAAGGTGCTAACGAAATGCAAAGTTTTATTAATTAACCCTCACTATGTTGCCAAGCGACGCATAATGTCATTAGCCTTGTTTCAGAGGCAGATATGCTGGTAACAGTGACCAAGTAGCTTGCGTAGCATCCCAGAGCAGGGTCAGCAACAGAGCGAAGGGCAGAACCCAGGAGTCCTGGCTCCCAATCCCCTGCTTGAGTCACCCCTCTACAATCAAATGGCCAATGGCATTTGAGAACATAGCCTGGGCCCTGTACACTCTCCCCTTTGGGGTGAGAATGGGCTGGGGTCTAGCAAAGTAGCGGGAGCAGCCTGGAAGCAGGAGTGGCATCATGATGTGTCCTCAGTTCCCTTGGCTGTCCAAAGTGCAAGGAGGAAAATTCTTAATCCCAGCTTCCCTCAGTTAGAAGCAGATGGGTTTGTGTATAGTTTTTGTTGTGGGGGGAAAAGGTGTCATGAAATTTGGGGCTCCCAGTGAGGGAGGGCTTTTCCTTGACCTGCACCTCATGTTGCCACAGCCACCAGGCGGGACCTGACCATATAGCTGACAAGGCTAGAGGCCTCCTTTGAGACTTCTAGCAGCTACTCTTAAGATAGCCATTGGGGGGGTGGAGGTCTCTAGGTCAGTGCAGAATGGCCCTCCTCACTTGCCTTCCAGGAGGCTGGTGGTAGCTTTCCCCTTATCACCATCGGCTGCTGCCAGAACAGAGGCATGAAAGCAAGGTGGTAAGTTTGAACCTGGGTCTCCCCATTCATTGGTGCGTTGCACTAGCCCCAGAACTGTCGGTCTGAGCAAGCAACACCCCTGCAAAAACACCAGAACGCAGAAATCCTGGACTCCTGTTGGCCTGTCATGATGAATGCTCATTGGTGATGTAGACAGGAGGCATTGGACAGAGATACAGGGGCCCCTGTTGAACACGAGCCAGCTGCAGTTCATTTTCGGGATGCTGCTGATACGCTGCCTGAGATGTAGAAGTGCAGACAGCTCAGGCTGTTTAGGAATAGCCGCGGAGAGCGAGGGTTCAGGTGGTATTGGGGATGGGACCATTCACCAGTCTTTAGACTGGCCTGAGAAGGATGAATTCTACCATGCAAAGCGAGCAGCGCCCCCTGAGCTAAACTGGACTGTGGTGCCATGGGAATCCCAGCCGTGGCACACCCCACCTTGCAGTCCCTCCCACAGGCCTGCTTCGGAGCAGCTGCAAACTCCTGCTGTGGTTGGCAGCTCTCCAGTTCAGGCCCTGGAGCTACTTTACTAGATCGCTGTGACAAAATATAGCCATCGTTGCGGTCCACCTGCGAGTGGGAAATGTTGGCTGGCAACACTTTTTCACATGACATGAAATGCATGGCCTCTGTTGGACTAAATGGGACTTATCGGCAGCTTCTCGGTCTCACATAGTGACCCAGTGCAGTTAGGGATGAAGGCTGCATTCATCCCTAACACTTTAAATGTGCTCTAGCTTCTCCCATTCTGCTGCTTGGCCTACAGAACACGTCTGGGTCCCATTTTAGATGACCGGGATAGTTTCATAGATTTCAGTGGGAGTTGGATGAGCCGTAAATGACAGTGGGGAGTTAGATAACCTATGTCCTGTGAAATTCATATCCTGATGCGCAGCTGGGGTCATGTACTGCCTTCTCTTGCAGGCAGCTTCAGTTGTAGTCCCTATATGTAGCTGAGGAGGGAATGTGGTCATGAGAGAACTCCTGCCTGGGAGAGGGGATAGATAATAGTATGCTGGGCTTGTGCACATGGGGTTTGATCCAAAGTCCATTGAGGTCCATTGGCTTCCATGGGCTTTAGATCCAACTCAGGTTGGATGGTCTTGTCCTGGTTCCCAGCTCACATCATAAGACCAAGCTCAACTGGCAGTCTGGCATAGCACAATTGGCACCCAAGAGTTGTGTGGGGTGAAGTTTCAATAGCACCTGCTCAGACATTGCCTGTCTCGAGAGACTTGGGAGTACTCCTTTTGGGCCTGTTAAAATCAGGGCCAATACTCACACTGATGTAATTAGGAGCAGTATTTAGAATCTTAGAATCATAGAATATAAGGGTTGGAAGGGACCCCAGAATCATCTAGTTAACCCCTGCTCAAAAGGACCAATTCCCAGTTAAATCATCCCAGCCAGGGCTTTGTCAAGCCTGACCTTAAAAACCTCTAAGGAAGGAGATTCTACCACCTCCCTAGGTAACGCATTCCAGTGTTTCACCACCCTCATAGTGAAAAGGTTTTTCCTAACTTATTTAATCCTCAACAAGCACTGCAGAGAGAAGTGTTGGATAGGAGCAGGCTCACTCTATTCCAGTGTGCATTGGGCAGCCACCCACAAGCAACGAGAGATTGAAAGGATCAATAGGGTCTGAGAAGTGGTTTAGGTTCCTAGGTGGCCCCCAGTCACTAGCAGGTGAGCACTGCACATGCATTAATGAACTTGCCCTCACAACACCCTTGTGAGGTAGGAAAGTATTATTAGCCCCATTTTACACATAGGGAACTGAGGCACAAAAGAATAAATGACTTGCTGAAGATCACCTGTGGCAAAAGCAGGACCATACCTTAAGTCTCAAGTACCAGGCTACGGCCTTCACCACAAGACCATCCTAGTACAATAGCGAATTTCCTAACAGGGCAGAGCTGGGTCAGCAGGATGGGAAAGAGGAGGCTTGCTTTCAAGATGAGGAAGCTGTTACTTATCACATAAGAATAGAGGGAGCACTCATGCAGGTTCCCTCCCTGACCTGGAGAGGTTCTGAACCTTCTCGCTCAAGAGGAACCAAGGACAAAGCAGCAGAGGACAGATCTCCTTTGGGCTGGCATCAACACCTAATCTGCTTTGTCTTTCTTGCTCCCAGGCTGACTGTGCCGTGCTGATTGTTGCCGCTGGTGTAGGTGAATTTGAAGCTGGTATCTCCAAGAATGGGCAGACCCGTGAGCATGCCCTCCTGGCCTACACACTGGGCGTCAAGCAGCTCATTGTGGGCATCAACAAGATGGATTCCACAGAGCCGCCATATAGCGAGAAACGTTACGATGAGATCGTCAAGGAGGTCAGCGCCTACATCAAGAAGATCGGCTACAACCCTGCCACGGTCCCCTTTGTGCCCATCTCTGGGTGGCATGGGGACAACATGCTGGAGCCATCTCCCAATGTAAGTGTGTATGGGTGCGGTGCTAGATTTACCACCTCAAAGCTGCTCAAATCCAGGCTGAGGTTGACCTTTGTGCTGTGCAAAATGAATGCAGATTGCACGCACCCCCATGCTGCAGAACTACCTGTGTTGCAAAAATAGATCTTTGTCCCACAGCTTTAATCAAGCTGACCAAATGTAAATGGGCCTAGTGTTCAGGGCCCTGATTATCATCCTGTGTTGGACTGATACCATGGCAGATAAGGGTAAACAGCTGCAGGAATTGGTTTGAGTAACTTCTCCTTAGGGATTTAATTTGAAGGCCTTTGGTTCCTAGTAACCAGATCCATCCAAAGTGGTTGTCAAACCCGGGGGGAGCATAACCTGTTTTTGTGCACTGTTTGTTCAGTGAAATAACACAAACTAGGTCATGCCCTTGGAATGGCTCCCTTTATTCAATCTAGTTTCTGCCTATCCAGCATTGGGAAATTCTCCCAGAAGTGTCTGTCAATACAGCAGCCACACATTGATTTTGTGTGGGTGTGTGAGACATTGATTCACTGTGTGTGTATGTGTCTCTGGGTAAGTCTCTTTACTCAGGCAACCCAAGACTCTCCAAGAAGTTAGCCATGGAAGTGATGGTCCATCAGATCATCCAGGATTGTTCCCCACAGAACATTACCAAGGGTTATGCCCACTCTGCTTTTAAATGACCCAAACAGTAGCGCTTCACCACTCCCCGTCTGAAACCATTCAGAGACCAACTGAGGAAGAATTTCCTGACATTAATTCTAAAAGTCCCTTTCTGTCTAAATTTTGTTCCCATTCCTCCTAGTGATATGCCATGTACTATGCTAGAGAATCCCTCTCCTTCCTCAGCAGGTACACCCTGGACATATTGCTACATTGTTCTCCTATTCCCACCTTAGCCCTCACTTCCCCAAGCTGTGCAGATTTAGCTCGTTCACTCTTCCTTCCTAAATCAGTCCTCCATCCCACTGATCTCCTCCGACCTGCTTTATCCATACCTTTCTGATGATGTGGTACCTAGAATGGAATGAGCTATTTCAGGGACGGTTTATCGTACCCGAAGCAGCTCCTTCCCCTATAAGGCATATGACCTAGCAGTGAGACAGTTCTGTCTGCTGCCACATGGCAGGGCCGCTTCTTGGTTTCCTCAGACATGCCCCAGGGCATGTCTTGAGGGCCACAGTCGTGTGGTTTTTTTGGCTTGGCGAAATCAAAATATGAAAATTAACTTCACCTCCCCCTCTGCTCAGCTGAGATGGGAGGAGAAGAGACGTTGCCATTTCCCATGATAAAGAGAAAGAGCTAAGCTCTTAATCTTGCAACAGCTGTTCTCCAACAGGTGTGACAATAGGGCTTTGCCGGAACCTCCTGCAGTTGTCAGTACTCCTTTGCCAGACAGCCTGGCTCCTACTATAGTGACATTCATATAGTGAAGTATTTTTTGGTTGGAAAAAACTAACCAGAACCCAAGGGGAAGAAGGGTCCAGTGGTTAGGCTGGTGGCCTGGCCCCTGTAAGATCCAGGTTCAATTCCCTGGTCTGGCACAGACTCCCCAGGTTACCTTGGCCATGCCATTTAGCTTCTCTGTGGGTCTGTTCCCCACCTATAAAAGGGTGGATAATAGCACTCTTTCCAAACAGGGTTGCTATGAAAATAAAGACTGAGGTACTCAGATACATTATCCCTCGGTTAAAGGAGGGCTGTGCTGTAATTATACCTAACAACGATGAAACTTTATTCAAACATCATTGAACCCCCATAGGGCAAACTGGTCAAAAGACCAGGCTTAACTTAGAAGAAAATATTTTGTCCCCTAGACTTTAGAGGTTCTCTTCCTATGCTCCGTGAAGCTAGGGTAAGGTCTGTCTTGGTCACTATGAGGAAAGTACCAGGGTTCTTGACTAGACTCAAGTTAGGCTTCCAAATGTCACCAGTTGCTGGGTTGGGAAGATGATATTGAGCAACCCTCCTATTAATAGGTTGGGCAGTGGAGGTGCAGAGTGAGGCTGTGGCGTGCAGGGAAATTTTTTTTTTAAACTTGTAAGTGAGCTGGCCCCATTCATCCTAATAGCATTTTCTAAACGCTACTCCTTGGTTGTGCAAAGCTTATGTGCAGAAATAGCTTGCCCCTGCCAGACATGAGGAAAGCTGTCTCTGGGGTGGGAGGCCGGCAGCTGTTTGAACAGCACATTAGAATGCCCCAGACAATCGAAATTGCAGCGGGAGCTTGGGTGGGTAGAATTTTAACACTCCTACGCTCATGAACGCACCACAAGACCCTTAGCACTGGCTCAATCAGGCTGAGTAACGAGCTGTTGCAAGGTGCCGAGCACTCTGGTCCAAAAAGCACTTAAGCCCATGCTGAATTTTAAGTGTATGAATAATGCCATTGACTTCAGTCTTGCTTGCTGGCTTTGTCGGATTGCAGCCCGTGACCACAGCAATTTGCAGGATCAGGCAAATGACCAGGACATCAGTCTTACATCTTACCCAAAAGATGAGACTAGCACCCCCTACCGCCACTTCTCACTAGAACCCTCCTAGGAGAAGCAGCATCTGTGTTTTCCCCCCCTTACAGTAAAGTCTTTATTTTCACCCCCATTTTCTGGCTGGGTTCCATTAAAGCACAAGGTAGTCACATGCTCAGCAGCCCCTGTGGGATTAGAATTCCAAGAAACCGCTAGAACCCATGGCAGCTTCGTTCTCCTCCATGCCATGTATTGGCCTCACCCAAATAAGAAAGGACACAGCCTGGCTACATTTGCTGCAGGAGATCTTTGTGAAACAGTCATTTTGGACTAGTCCCCAGTTGCTGCTTTGGAAGCAGTGAGTATATCGAAAGTAACAGACACTGGCCGGCAGAAGATTCTGTGCTACGCTCTCCATTGTCTTGGCACCCCACTTCCATTAAGACCTTGTTTAACAGCTCATGCTGTCAGACCGACGCTTCTGGAACAGGCCAGTGGATTGCCTGCAGTTTAAGGGTTAAATATAATGCATTCCACTGAACCATCAATTCCTAGGCCTATGTTGATTATACACCATGGGGACCGATCTACAGCTCCCTGAAGTTAGTAGAGAAATGTCCATGGATTTCAGTGGGCAGGCAAACTTGGCTTTTCCCTTCCCCTTGCAGCTTTCTGTTGCTTGGAAGCCTATTTCAGGGAAGGCGTCTCCACCGAGCAGAGGCCCTGTGGCTGGCAATCCGGTATCAGGCTCACCACTTGTGGGCCGAGCTGACAAGCAACAGGTCTCTTTAAAGATTGGTTCCCTGATACAAATTAAACACTGCCTTCAGGGCTGTAATGAAAGAGGCGCCGGGTCAGGCAGTGTCTCCACACTCCCCCGTCCACCCCAGGGTCCTCTCCTTTAGAAATACTTTCTGAGCAGTTCTGCCGAATGAGCTGCTAAAGGATCTAGGGCTTCTTCCCTGAATTTCTGGGTGGGAGTGAGTGACTCCTGGGAAGGGCCCGTGATCACGCAGAGTCCTCGACTCAAGGCTGCCGGGCTATTGCTCTCTCCGTCCCAGTCAGTAGTTCCGACAAAGGCATGAAACTCAATCTGGAAACTGATGCCCGTTCTCTCTTGCACCGGCTGGAGGAGGAGGCAGGTGCAGGGCTGGCTGCCAACCACTGCAGTTTTAACCTTTTCAGCCACACAGAAGGAGACGCTCTTCCATGTACAGTCACTTGCCAGAGCAGAGGGGGCTTGGGAGCAATGCCATTTGCTGGAGAGGCTGAGCCATTTTAATCAACAGTAGCAGTCCTCTGCCTCTTCCTTAGTGTGGTTATTGTACCCTCTGTCTACCAGAGACACAAAGGCCAAGCCCCTGCAGCCAGGAGGTCAGGTCTACCAGCCCCTTCTGGCCCTATAAACCCAGGCCACAAAGGGTGCAGCACAGAGAAATGCAGCTTGGCTGGTCTTGATTTCAGCTGCTCAGTCATCTCTCTCCAGCAAATTAAACTCCAGCCTGGGCACAGTCTCCAGTTAGCAGCTTTGTACCTGCATAGGCTCTAGCTTCTACGCTCTAGTTTTTAACCCATCCCTGCCTGGACATTGCCCACCAGGAGTGGATTCCATTCTCACCTGCCGACCTTGGCCCTCAAATAAGGCCAAGTAAAAATGGGTGGGTGGGGGTGTGTGTGTGTAGATAGTGACAAAGTGCCAAACCTGTATTAGTGGGTCCTGCACTTCCAGGCAGATTCAGTGGCCTCAGAAGCTCACCAAGACCCTCAATAGGGCCTCCCTTTCCCAGTATAGCAGCAAGGGTCACCACTTATTGAGCTACTTTCATCGCAGGCCAGTATGGAAGGTGGAATACCCAGTGTCTCTGTTGCTCCTTAGAGCTTGGTAGGCTCAGCTTGGCCTCCTGCCTGCCTGAGCCAAAGTCTGCTTCCTCTCTCAAAGGGATCTCTGTAGAGCATGGGGGAAGCGGAGAACCTGGGCCCACCCTCTAATCCAGGTTCCAGCCCAGGGACCCTAATGGTAGCAGTGGTTTTTCCCTTCACCAATGATGCTGCTTCAATTCCCTGGGCCACTTCCCCATGGTCCCCTTTTCCCAAGCTTCACCCTTACCTCAGACTTCAGCAACACTTCTCTCCTCCAGCTCCCTTCACCTGGGCTTCTCTCTAGAGAAGAGCTGGAAAGGAGAGCTTTTAAGCAGTATGAGTAGGACGTTAATTGGTTCCAGCTGTGTCCATTAGCCTAAGGGCCTTAACTAACCCTTTGCCAGTTAATTGAGGTCAGGTGCCTGCATTAGCCTAACGACCTTAATTGGTTAAATTGGCGTCAGGTGCCTTGATTGGCCTGGAGTAGCCTTTGTTTGGCTATCCAGGGAACAGGGACCTGCTCATTCTGAGGCTGATATACCTGCCTTCCACTACCCTTATATCCTTCTGGTCTGAGTCCGTCACAATATATATGGCTTGAATGCACCCGCCAATATATATGGCTTGAATGCACTGGGAATGAGAGATGGAGCTATGCCTTGT